AAAGGTAGATTATTTTCTTGAATGTCACAAAATCATATCGGTCTGTAAAAAATCGCTGGTGGTAGTCAATTCCACAAGAAAGTTGTGCGCGGAAACAAAACTTCGCACAGTGATAGACTGCCAATCATCTAAATGGTATGGACGATATCGCGAGTTTTGTCACGATGTGCGATGGTGAATGAATATAATATAGAGTGTATTCTTTCAGTGAGACATATTCCAGCAAATTTCCGTAGAATTTAAAGTCTTGTGACTAAAACGTTTCTCGCCACACCTAAAGATTCCCTTGAGTTCTTAATCAAGTAAGTTCACAGTGCACTTAAGAGCGTGAAATTAGATTTAAGTATAGGAGGAACTCGAGAGGCTTTGAATGTTGTTAGTTAAAACCGAACACGTCGTTTCGCAGTGCAAAATTAATTGTTAACGAAGCAGTGCTCATATAATTTGAGTTTGGCTTAGTAATTAAAAAAAGGATTTTGAAACGAGATAGTATTATCCTGTATATTAACTGAGTAAATTTTGTATATTAGGTATATGTTTACATAATAACGAAAAATAAAATAAAAGGAAACGGATCTTATAATTGAGATATTTTTTTAAATATAGAATAAGTGTGAAAAACGATAACCTGATGGTAAGTGATGTTGAGCCCATAAACATCTATATATTTACTTGATTAAGAATCAAAATGAAGATACATTGTCAACCCTGAGAACCAAGTTGAAATGGCCCCGTTTCCAGATTGAATGGCATCTGCACTCACCGTATACGGCACTCAGACACAGCTGTGTTAAGCTACATGTGAGGCTGGTATGCTGGTATGCAGTGATAGCTTGGACCTTCCCAGGTCACCTAGGTCAGGCACCTACCACACCGAGCAAATTTCTGTCACCCAAGTACTGAGTTTTATTAAGTGTTATACATACACACAAAGTGAGTATGTATAACACTTAATGAAACTCAGTACTTGGAGAAAGAAGAGTTCGGAGTTTCAAAGCCAGTATATTGCACTGGTGATACTAATCTTCATCTCACCAATCGTGACTATGTGCATCCATGAATACACGGCATACTGAATAGTTTTTATGTTTTAGTTTATTTTATTATATACTAAAAATTCGCACCGGCTTCGCACGGATGATTTCTGGATATTGACAACAAAGCCACCTACCGTGTCCAAATGTGAATATAAACCATCTAGAGGCCCATTCAAACACACACAAAAAATTTCATCTAAATCGGTTGGATAGTTTCAAAGTCAAATTTTTTGTGTTTTATATCGATAGATTGTCTTGTTTTGGCTTTTGTTTGGAGACATTAATTTAATTTAATTTCAATATCGAGTTTATTAGGCTTGCTTTAATTTTATTGTGTGGCTCCTTGTTGTGGTTGTTCTCATGATTCAAGTGAGAAAGAGGATTTATGTCATCTAGAATTATAACATCGCTTTCATAAATGCAGGAGGGCATTTACGAAAGCGATTACCTAAAGAGTGCGTTTCTATTTTAAAATCCATCCAAAAACTAATTTCACAGCTTGTTTTGGGGAACAGTGATACCAATGTGATAGTGTCATTTCTGTGCTCACCAAAAAAAAGCAAGCCCATTCTTGGAGAACCTATTTTCAGAATTTTTATGTTCATGCATAATTGTGTGGTAATGTTTGATTATATTTTTACGTATAAAGAAGTGTTAGCTTAGTAATTAAGTGCTCGCCAAAAATTCACGGTACACGAACAAACCTGCATGTCTGCGAAATAAAATATTTCGAGAATAAATGAAATAAAACTTTGAAAACTGAAACTTTACTTCGACTTTACACATACTTTACTGTTGTGTTATCATGTGACTAAACAAGTCTGTATTAATATGATAATTGATAGATTTAACAAACACAATGAAACAATGGTAAGTTATAAAAATGGCGACTATGAAAACATTCTAATAAATTTCATTATACCATGGTACATCATTCACACGCTAACAACGATTTCGAGTTATAATTTGTTTCAGAGACACGTTTGTGAACGTGGTTTACGTGACATAACTTTTATATGAGATAAAGTTTTACCGAGATTTTTGTGAAATTCCTTCAATTTTCTAAAGTTTAAACAGTTTAAAGTTTCAACTTTATAAAGACTTAATTATTATTAGAAATATAGTTTAAATTTTACGATATATATAACGATCTATAGTGACAGTTTATAATAACTGTAGTAACTTAGGGATTGGCCATCAAATTTAAAGTATACTGATACAGCGTTTATAAAAGCGTTATATTAAAATTCACCGCTGAACATAGGTCTCCCCCATAGATTGCCTCAAAGAAGAATATTTGCTAGAGTATTCACGCTTATCAAGCGGGTTGGCAAACGCAGGTTTTTATTTTAAGTCGTTATTAGGAAGACGCTTCTGCCTATCTCCTAATTTGTTTCGCTCTGTCGAAGACATCCGCGGTACAATAGTGGTAGTGGATATTCTAGCACTGCCACTACACAGAATACTAATTATAAATTTACTGTATGCAAAATATGCCTTTCCTCGCTGAATGGCTATAGGAACACACATACACTTGGTATGTAATTTTCTGTTATCAAAATACAATAAAATCTTTTTGCAATGAAGTACAACCTGACTTTTGTTTAGACCACAGGATAGAGAATTTTGTTTAGATTTTATAATGCTAAACTTCTTTATAGAAAAGTAGTCTCTAAATATACGTTTTAATGGTTTTAAGTGCTGTGGGTGGGTGCGGTCGCATGCGACTGCTCGGGATTTGCCGGATGCATGCGACTGATGCGATGATGATGATTTCAAATAATTTCAACCATAAATCGCGGCGAAATTTCCCTACCCTAAACCCTCTCAGAAATGCTGTGGCTGTAATTTTATCTTTTTAGTTTAATATGTTTATTAAACTAAATAGATATTAATATGTTTATTAAACTAACTATATTAATAGCCTTAATATTGTTCTAAATTTAATGGCACTTTCATGAAAATGCTTTTATTTTATCGCAGATTCTAAATAAATGTAAAGGACTTATATCAATGTCAGCCGAAAGCACCTGTTTGAACGTTGAAGGGATTAATAAAAGCAGCTGTAGTGTTCGTCTGAAGCGCTTAAACGGTAAGTAAGTGAAATAAACGGCGAGTGAGAGGATTATATTATTTTAATTTATAAAATGAAGTTTTCAAGTAACATTATATACGAGTAAGACCAAAAGGTTTTAATCGGACCTGACCTTTCAAAACTGATAAAAGCCGTTACAACTAAGATGAATCATTAGTAGTACGGGGAATAAACACTCATTTTATTAGACTGATGAATGATGAGGTCCTAGGTCCTAATTCAGTCACCCAAAGTTAAAGTCCCAAATCGTAAAAAAATACACAGGCTGTGCTGGTTTGTCAGGCTGTGTTGTAATCTATCAAAAATCCACTGCTGAACATATATCTGTTTCATAGATTGTCCCATAAGAGTCATTTTGCCGTAGTTGCCACGCTTGGTAGATGGGTTGGTAATCGTAATTTGCCATCTTCTGTTTGAGTTTGTCTCAATCGCCTCTTACGACACCCATGGGACAATATGGGTTAGTGGATGTTCTTACGCGATCAACATTATACATACATAATATAAGTACAAAGATAATTTAACAGTATTTCATTGGGTTAAGCCCCACTAGAGTCCCAACAGCAATACAGAGGCCGTATATTATATTATCATTGCCAACTGCGAACCCCTGAGACCATTTAATCGATAAATAGGCCTTCCTAACATTACAAACATAGTCGAATGTATATATATATATATATATATATATATATATATATATATATATATATATATCATAAGGCAGTAAAATACTTGGGATACATAAAATGTTAATTTTAGTGAATGGTTGAGATTCACATTTAAGACCCGGTAGGTGGTACTACAGTTTGAGACCCAGAAATCAAATAAAATTATTACCAGCTGTAACAATTTTTTAAATTAAATTATTCAATAATATAAATCTATATAATAATATAATTATATGAATTATTCAATAATATTTTTACATTAAATTAATTAAATCATATGATAGTAGCCGGAATTCGGTGCCTCGTAGTCTATGCTGAAGTACGTAACTTCCTCCGAGAAAATAAGTAAAATATAATTCGGTGATGAAGTCTCTGAACAGTACCCAGTATTCCTCGTTCTTAGTAATAAAATATGATTCTTGCGTAAGGCCAATTATTGATTTTTGTTGGAATTTAAAATAACCATTAAATATTCTTCAAAATGACGAATACGACTGATGAGAGCAAAAATCGATTACGAAGTACAATAATATCCGAGAAGTTTCTCTATTCAAAATTGTTTTAGAAGATTCGAATCCCATTTTCATTATTTTACAGACTGCACGACCACTGATTGTATTTCCTGAGGCGTAAAATAGAAAAGCTCTCAAGGAAAACGAGAGGAAAGTCTCCGATTAACTTAGTTTAAATTAATATGTTTCTTTTAATATCCAATAGTCTTGTGGAAGACTTTTTAAATGTGAAATAAAGTTTCATTTGTTCTAATAGAGCCATGAAACAGAATTATTATGATCAATTCGACCGGAGAAGGATCACACCCTCACAAATATGCCAGCGCAAAATAGCAACTTAATGCTATTAGTTTCTTATGGTGAGTATAGAGACCTGGAGATAATTTTTATTGGAAACGAGGCATTCCATTTTAGTCTTTAGAGGTGACAACACATCTGCACTTTGATTCTTAATCGAAGATATCTATATGTATTTAATCAACACCTTATTAATACAATAATATGACTAAATAATAACTACATGGTGTGCCTATAAAAAATACTACGTGTTAAATGTCTTTACAAAATCTATACTCACGTTCTGAGTGGAACAGACTCTTAAGAGCCTATTCCCCACTCAAAACAAGAATTGTTTGTACCTTATAACAATTCCTAAATAATTTTGTATGTTTTTTTTTTATTTTACTTAAGAACTTAAGGCCATCATTATAATACCAAGCAAGGTACGCATTTCTTCATTATTTGTCTCTACCCAGTTTCTTGATTGATTTTTTATAGCATATAGATTAGTATTTTCCACCAGAATATCAATTATGTTTGATGTAAACATGTGTTCAAAGTAATCTATAGGCAAATGTCTGTTATTGTAAGAAGTGGTAGGTCTAGCTTTAGTTTCAAAGACTGGAAATGCTTGATTTTCAATATTAGTTGTCCAAGATCTGTCTTTTTGGATCAATTGAGTATAGGTGACAATATCACTAACTGGAGGAGATAATGGTTGAACTGGAGATGGTGGTTGAACTGGATATGATGGTTGAACTAGAGATGGTGGTCGAAACAGAGATGGTTGTCGAACTGGAGATGATGGTTGAACTGGAGATGGTGGTGCAACAAAAATATTGGCAACTGTGCTAGTTGGTGTATTATAACCTTCAATCCCCAGGTCCTCAGGTTGTATTATTTGACTTTCTTGACCGGTTTCAGTTACAGGCTCAGCAGAGGAATGATATGATGCTTCGTTTTTATTACCAAGTATATCTAGGAGCTCTTCAGTAGTGATATTTTGTATCCTATCTAGCCTTTTGTTCAAGATGTCAGAAAAATCTTCATTTAATTCATCATCGTCAGTATCTCACCTTCTGATGACAACAGGCTTTGAAGATGAGCTTCAATATCTTTATCTTCCAGCGGCATGGGCTAGAAAACAAGAAAACTCATCAAAATATGTCTTGCAAAACTGGGTGCGTAATGGACAATGATCATATATGGACCACATAATTCAAGCAATCGTTACAATAATAAAAATAATGTTAACGATAAACAAAATACATTTAGATTATGTAAAAACTCTCAAATATATGTTACTGAACACCAAACAATACTTACTGGATTTTTTTTAGGCATCTTCTACAATTTACTGCAACTAACACACAAAAAAACTGACTGTTTGACATATTGTGGTCCTTAAGTACATCTTGCCCTTTAAAATCACCCAAAAACTTTAGTGGTCCTCTATAGTACTTTGCCTGGTTAAGGTTAAGAATATGTCGACTATATCTTGATGTTTATTGTTGATAATTTGTGGAAATATTAATTTTATACTTATTCAAGTATAAGAAACCCGAGTGAGCCGATATAATATTATTTTAATTCATAACACAACCCCTTATAAGTCTCATCACGCACGTCCTTAATCACCTACTTTTTGCTAATGACAACTCTGTGAGTCATTAAGCCAAAGCGTTGTCTTTTTTGAGGAAGGCTGATTCTTTTTACACACAATGTTTATTTATAAATATAATATATAATTGCTTTTCTCTCAGTTGCTGTAAATACACAGGTTATTGAAGAACTCGGGTGAAAAAGTAATCCTGCGCGTATCGTATCGTAACGTAACGTTCCCAATCTCCAACCCAAGCGCTAACCGTGGTAATTATGACAAACTAAGTAAACAGTCAACAAGCAAGCTGTTAAAAATAAAAACATTCGTATAAATAAATGAATAATAAAGTAAAAGTGATCTGCCTTACCTAGTTTAGAGTGTATCTGTCGCCCTCTCTCAACTGCGTGCATTACCGTGTTTCCATGTTCGAACTACAAGTTACCACTATCACAGACACCACTATTTATACCATTGTTTATTTTGTCTCCCATCCTTTACGCAATTCTATATATATATATATATATATATATATATATATATATATCGGGATCTCGGAAACGGCTCCAACGATTTTCATAAAATTTAGTGTCCAGGGAGTTTCGGGGATAAAAAAATCGATCTAGCTAGGATTTATTTTTAGAAAATGTCTTTTTGTCCGTGTCTTTAGGCAATGAAATACTACTACAATATCGTTAGAATAAGAGGGTAAATTTTGACAAATTGTTAATGATGATATATAGCTTAATTGGTATAACGGGCGGTCACAGAATCGTAAAACCCCGGTTGGAGCCCAGACCGACCCACCGACTTTTTTTAATTGTTTTTCAAGTAACTTTCTTTTTTGAGAAAATCTATTTTTTCGAGCCCTTTTTTTTAGTATTTTTTAAAAACACGAAAATTTAAATTAAAATAATTGCACCCATGATTTTTTAATTCAAATAACCAGTTCCGTTTTTTCTGTTATGTCGCTAAGATCAAAAAATATTATTTATATTTCATCAGTATCTAATTTGTATCTAAATATAATTTCCAAAACACGCGAATTAAAAAAAAATCGAGCGAAAAAATACCGAGTAAAGCTCGGTCAACCGGGTACTATTAATTTATAATAAATCATCCAGTATATTTGATTTACGTAAAGTAACGCCTGATTCTACGAGTATTAATTAAACCCAAGTTCATCTGCAGTCCGTTAAAGAATACTAGGAATTTATAAATAATTTAATTGTTAATTATTCCATCTTTACTAGTATTAACATGTATAATGTTGTAAAAATTATATGAGGCATTACTTGTTATAACTATAGAGAATATTATACGCACATATAGTCAACCGACTCGCATTTAAGTTTTCTTGTTTTGTAACCTAAAAACAACTTACAAAAAGGAAAAAATCTTTGAACTGAAGAACTAATATGGCAATTAAATCAGTACACGTTATTCTTGTCCACAATATTAGCGTAAAATCGCAGCATAGGTGCTGTGTTTCGCATGGAGAGCACAGACTATGATTATCGAGGCTCACAGTATGCTATTGAATACATTTTGGAGAATATACGTAGAAAATTCCTCCCTCCCACTTCCAACATTGAATAGAGATGCTGAATTAGTTGCATTTCATTCAAATTCTTTTGTGAATTTTCTGTCTAGTTACTTATCAAATAAATTAAACTCCTGCCATTTGTCGTCACTCGGAACCCACTTCAATTTGCGAATATTATATTTATATCTTTTCCTTCTTTTTATAACACCTACATTTTTATCTCTATATCAATACGATAAGGGAAAATTTCGTACCCCTTTTTAAGCATATTGCAAACATCAATGTTTTGGGTTGTGAAATTTGGCATAGTTACATTTTAATGTGGAGAAGGAGTGCAAAGAGCTAAAATTTATTTAAAATATGTGGTGACTGTAGAGAATCGGAGACCCTTTTTACTGGAAACGAGGTATTCCATCTTAGTCGTCACGGGTGACATTGCATCTGCATCTTGATTCGTAATCGAGGATTGATGTCTATCGGATATCTATGGGCAACAGTAATTACTTACCATCAGGTGGACTGTGTGCTCGTTTGTTACTCTTATCCTATTAAAAATTACTCAGGCTCTCTTAATAGATTGTAAGATGTGTAATTTAATTTTGGGTTATATTAAATAATTAAAAAGTTATACAAATAAAGACTCCTTTAAACGAAGCTTAACCTTTATAATTAAAAAAAGAATCATAAAAATCGGTTCACGACTGACGAAGATATCGCGCAACATACATACAGAGAAAAATAAATAAAGGTCGAGTCTATCGAGTCTGTAGAGTTTAACACGATTTTTATTTTAAAATAAAATAAGCATTCCGTTGAATTAATGAGAGTGTTTTCCCTTTTGAAGTGAGTTATAAATGAAAATACAAAACAAAATAATGATCAACATCGAGAACCTTTAAAATTATGATTCAGGGCACACTTCGACAAATGTGCTTTATATCCATATAATTGATTATGTTATTGGCGAATACTAGGCAAGTTAAACGTTGATGCAAGACCCACGTACTTTTAACTGCTCGAAATCATCAATATGTACAGTGGGTGCGGCAATTACTAATGGATTTACCGCCATCACTCGGTTGCCGAAACCGAAGTTTAAGTGAGGTTTTCAACAGTGAATTTAGTATAAACCATCAAAAGTTGGGACATATAATAACCTATCATAAAATAAATAACCTATACCACAAATTGCCTCATAATCTGGCGGATTGGTAATCGCATTTTTTTTAGTCGTTATAGAGATAATATTTATCATATTTGCCACACTTAGCGGGCTGGTGAGTAACAGTTTTTTTTTCATTGATAACTGGAAGATGTTGCTGCTTATCTCCTATTCTTGACATATATGTACAATTAAATTTGATTATTTTAAGATATATTTGCACACTGGTACAACTCCCGGTAGAATATTATTGAGACTTACTCTTATACTAAATACCTGTATTATCTAAACATTTTATTCTGCAAATAAAGATTTTGACTTTGACTTTGACTCTAGTTTACCTCTGTTGCCGCTTTAGATATCGACGGTGTGATAATGGGATAGTGGATTTTCTTTCATCTATACCACACGGCGGCAAGTCTATAAAAGTATCATAGAATAAAGAAATAAATAGTAAGATTAAAAGCCCCAAATTATAATGCTTTCTTTGAAATGGATGAAAAAGACATCTTATTAAATATATTCCATCTAAAATTTAGCTACTGCGTGGTAAACCAAGTAGAACGCTGCAGTTAACTGCAAGCATAAATAATTTATTTTTATAATTCTTATCATCATCTTTATCATTACAGCCCTTTTTTATTATTGTAGGTACATTCTTTTAATTGAAAAGGGTGACTAACAAGCACACAGTCCATCTGATTACTTTGCTCGGTAGACTCATATTTATGACAAAATGTGTTGAAATGCAATATTTTGATTGATTGTCATTAATAAATATGAAGCGCTTACTATTTAATACACACCCACACATTTGTAAGGGAGTGTTGAAATCGGAAACTGTCGGTGGCGTTCGGCTACCGTGCTCGGTTACGCGTTAACTAACGCTACATCTGTATGTATTTTAGACTGTTCACGGTTCGTCAGGGAAGGACCATGTTTTCACAAAATATCAGCGTAAAATATTTTCAAATGTTGCAGTGTTGGGCACAGGCCTTTTATCGTTTCTGAGAGGGTAAATTCGTTATATTAAAAAAAGTAAATTAGCCACTTTCCATTAGATGTAATCTAAGTTCGTTTACAACTTTAATTTTGTTAATAAAATATATCAATATTAATTATAATGTAAACGTTAAATTATATTAATTTTAATAAAAATATATTTTTTTAAATTTTTACATTTACGAGGCCATCATAGGTATTGCTGTCTACATATTGAGAATTTTACAAAGAATATAGGTAGTCAATAGTATGATTTGAAATTGGCGGGATGGGATTTTTATATTTTGTGCTGATAGGTACTACACGGAATGGTTTTACGACTGTATAATAATATATAAAAATTAAATAGCGTTTATGATATTTAAATTCTATTTTATGCATTCTATTAAAGAACACTAAAATAGTATATAAACAGTTTGATATGCCTGTAAACGTTAAGATTAGTAGAGTTTATTTTATTACCAACGGCTTCAACAAAAATAGTGCTATCTGTAAAAAATAAACAGTTGTCTACCTACTTGAAAACTAAATTAATGAGCACAGAAATTGTTTAGAACTTCGGGCTATTTAGAGAATTATGTTCGGCCATTAGCGGTAAGCGCAACCACTTAGGAGTTCTTTATGACGTTTTTTAATAGATTCTAAGTATATTTCTGTGTCGCTTGCAGCTTTGATCTCACAAGAAAGTAAAATATATTAGATAATTAAATTAACGAGATG